CGGGACACCCCGGAGCCGCGGTGGACGCTGCTCGGCCACGTGCCCCCGAGCTCACACGTGCACGGGGGTCCCCGCTCAGCCCCGGCCCCGCGGTGCCGTCCCCGGGCCGTGCCGTACCTGCTCCTCGGTGAGCCCAAAAGCCCTCTGGAAATCAAAGACGTTGGCCGAGCGCGGCACCACGGCCTGCAGGAGCGCCTCGCCGCGCACCACGATCCTGCAGAGCGGGGATTTGCACCTGAGCCCACTGCCGTAGCGCTGCGAGGCTCAAAGCAGCAGTTAAATGCAAAACTAGTGAGCACTGACACCCCCAAAGCCCTGCTTTTTTTTTTTCCAAAGCTCATTGTGTACAAGGTCAGCTTCGGGATGCTAAGATAGTCCTTGTCCAGGCTGAGGAAGCTGCTCAGATCAGCAGGACTTGTCACATGCTCTTCCACACGAACCCCTGATTTTGCAAAGTGCTTTGTGCTCCTATCCAGAAGTGTTTCCCACTGGGCTCTCTTTAATCCTTGAAAGAAAGCCTCACATGCAACTTGCTTTATGTAATAAGCATTGACACTTTCCCATACATTTTTTTTCTAAGGGAGGTATAAACAGGGAGGGCAGGGTTCACTGCTCTGCTTACCTGTCGTACGGGCAGCTCGTGCTCCTCCTGACCGTAGTGTCATTTCGGTCACCGATTAGCCAGACAAATTCAGGCTGGGTTCTCAGCCGGATGTTCTGCCACTGCTTTTTGGGGACATAGCTACAGCCAGCGTTGAAGTCCCCCATGAAGATGAAGTTCTGGAAGGAGAATAGCTCTTCAAAAATAAGAATGACTTTTAAGATTGGCAAGTATTGCAATAGCCTGTGTAGGTCAGAAAGTGAGAGCTTAGGGCAAAGGCTTGCAGAGGCTGCCTGGGGAAGCCCATGCTCACACATTGACAAGGAGGCCCAACCTGGGACCAGGTGGGGAAGAGAACAACGATGCAATGGACCATTTTAAGGAACCGGCTCTTTCATCCAGAGATCGAGTTTACAGAGTAAAAGCTGGAGGACTCAATGAAAATATGTTAAAGTAATACCAGAAATGTGGGGCTTCTATCAGCTGTTTTAGGATCACAATCTGTGGACATTGTCCCTGGTGAATCAGCGCCAAAGCAGACAGAGCAACACAAAGGTCCTAACGAACCTTATTTTTCCAGCGCTGCTTTACGTCTAAATACACATCGTAGAGCTCATCGATTTCCCGCACTGCTGTTTCTGGGGTGGTGTGCAGAGGGATTATAGCGAACTCTTTGACAGCTTAAAAACAAGGCAAAACAGGAAAAAATGCAGCAGTTAAACACACAATGAATCATAAAGCCAAAAAAACCACGACTGACTTGAAAGCAACTGTTTTTCTCAAGGAAAAGCAGCTTGTATTTTGGCAGTGCACCAGAGGAGGTGGCTGTGCAGCCGCCCCGTGTTGGAAAGCAGCTCACCGGTTCCGGGGGAGAGGAACCAGACGATGAAGGGCTCTCTGGAAAAGGCATCTTCGTCCCCGGGCTGGAGATCAGGGTACTGGTATACCTGCTTCACTGACACCAGATTTGGCCTGCAACACATGCCAGCCTGTAAGTAGTCCTGCAGATATTCCAGAGACAAACTGCACCTTGCTGGCTATGGGTGGCCACCTCGACCAGGCTATGGGGTGCGAAGGGCTGAACAACCTGCTGAGTGATGGGGCTTGCTGAAGTGACAGGAGCCAGGCGAGGTGGCCCGTGCGCGAGCCCGGCCACGGCCGCGCTCACCTACCTGTAGATGAACGCGTACTGCTCCTTGTAGCTATTCCTGCCCAGCCTCTTGCTGACCACATAGCTGTAATCTTCTTTTGGCCCTTTTGACCATCTGGAAAGAAAATGGTGTCTGTTAGTTTATTTCTGTATTTTAAAGGACTGTTAATTGTGAGTCTTGTATGAATGCATATGCAGGAGCATATGAGCCATGGACTGCTGGGTTTCAGGGAGAGGTTATACAGACAAAACTCCTGAGGATCAGCTGTGTTTGGGGTATGTTCTTCATTGCTTCCCCTTTTGTTCTACACTCTCTGTGCCTCTGGTAGCCTCTGGCATTGCATCTCTTTAGATGGCCTCACTTCTATCTAGGTAAATGCTGTTATTTTCTCTAGACTCATAAGCTGCAGGCAGGGAATCCTCAGACTTGTCTTTAGCTCAGCAACCCACTTCTAATTGCGCAGAAAGGCCAATTCCACCTGTTACTCTGATGTTAGCTGGGTGAGGCTTTTTTGCTTCACTCTCTTTTCCTTTGGGCATTGATCTTTACATGCTGCACCTGCCTTCACTGCGCTGGTTTTAAAACCTGTTTGCTGGAGCTGCCTTAGCCGTGGGCTTCTGAGAGCTGCCAGAGTCAGGTCCGCTCCTGCCTGCTGGGGTAGATCCAAACTCAGTTGTTCTGCTCCCAGGGCTGGTCCTGCCGGTAAGCAGAGCTGAACAGGTTGCGGGACGGGGCTCTTGCCTCTGCTCCTCTCTCCCTATAACTGGCTGTGTGTTTTTCACCCTCGGAAGCAGCTAGTGCGTTATCACAGGTGGGATCTGGGCCCAAGGAAGAGCCTGGGTTGGGATTGTTCCCAGCCCAGCCAGGCAGCAGTTTCTCCATGCGGGTTCCTTGCAGCCCCTGCCTGCATTAACCCGTGTGTGGAGTGTCCCCCTCACCTGTTAAGCTTCTCAGTGAGGAGGGGGCAGATCCTGTTGTTGTTTTCCTTTATTTCCATCAGCAACATGATGTCACAGCGGGAAATGACCTGCGGCAGGAAAGGGCAAAAAGCAACTGTGTGCTCAGGGCGTTGTGGAGGGTCAGGAAGCTGTTAGGAAGCTGCGGCTATTTGTGGGAAAGCAGAAGTGCAGAGCAGAGCGTGCGGCGGGGCTGCCTCCCTGCGCGCTGCGGGGGCGGCCGAGGCCCCGGCAACGGCCTTCTCCTTTCCAAGCCGCCCACCAACCCGGAATGGGAACCGAGACAGGGATCTCGGGAGCCGCAGGGTTTGGGTTTGGTTGCAAACTTCTGCACCTGCCCAGGGGAAGGGGTTTGCAGGGAGAGCAGCAGCTCCAGGCTCCGCTCAAGGGTTTCCTCCTGCAGCTGGTTGGGCTCTGCTTCCCTCCCTGCCTCGGCCCCGGTCACGGTCTCATCCTTCTCCCCAGGCCGAGCCGGGCTGTGCAGGGCCGGTCTCCCCGGGCCGCTCTACGGGCAGCACGCGCAGGGCCTTATTTGTGCGCCGGGTTTGGTCCTTCGTCAAACTGCGTGGGTGTCATTTGTGGGAGAGAAGCACCCGCTACCCCCAGAGCAGCAAAGCTGAGGGTGGCATGGGGTAATATGTGCCAAGGCACCCGGAATGGCACCTGCTGGTGGGCATCCCCTGAAGCCGTGGGAAACAAATGTATTGCCCATAATTTAGTCTATGTTACCCATAGCCCTGGCAGGATAGGAAGGACAGACCAGAAGTGCAGAGCTGATAGTTTTATAACAAAAAAACAAGCAAACCCTTCCCCTCAGCTGGGTGCAGTGAAAGAAATTGAGCAAAAGTGAATGCCCAGCCTTTACCGCGGGGGCTGGCGCTAGCGGTGAGTGGTCAGGCAGTGTGGCATCTTGGGGGAGGCTTGAAAGCCTGGAATCCCAAATATGATCATTTCTCTTTAAAAAAGAACTTGTCTTTCAGATGCTCTGGAAGAAGTGTGTGAGTTTTGTCTAAATAAATCAGCAATTATTAGGCAGTTTGGTTTTATGTCACACCCTAATGTGATATCCAGCACTAGCCTGAGAAGACTTCTTAGAGATGACTATTTCATCTCTAAGAAATGAAATTTCATTTCATCTCATAGCCCAGCAGTAAAGTAAAAAACATGCCACAAAATAGAGCTCTGTGGATTCAGAGGAAAAGCCATTTTTCACAGTGCGCAAAGTTTCTTGTTCTTTCCTCGCTACATTTCCGAAGGAAATGGCAAATGTTGTTTCTGTTGTCTCCTCACTCAGACTAAAATAGCTGCAATGGCGCTACTCAAAAACAGGCAGGTTTTTGCATTAGCAAGATAAGGTAATTTTCAGCATTTAGTCATTCTTTCACTCAAAATTTGCCTGAGAAAGGACAAATGAGCTGCAAGGTTTTATAGACAAGAAGCCCTTGGAAAGCTCAGTGTCCATCTCGTGTGGACTTACCTTTACGACAACATCAAGGACTTCTTGCCTGGCCATTTTTGCTTCTCCGAAAGACTTCACGTTGAAGGAGCAGATCCTCAGGCTCAGGGACATGCTGGAGCAGAGGAGCAAGAGCACCACGGTGAGCAACATCTGTGGGGCCTTGGGCAGGCCGGGAATATGCCCGTCCGTGCGTCCGTCCTGCCGTCTGGCACCCGCTGAGGGCACAAAATGAGCGGAGGTGGCGGTGTCAAGCGCGACAACCAAACAGGAATTGCTGGTTTCCTCCTTTTCCCTCACTTCCATCTTCCCGCCCGAAGAGGCAGGGGGAACTTGCCCTCGTGCCGGGAGGGATTCGCGGTGGTCGGAGCTGACGTCGCGGTCCCGGGAGCTGGTGCAAAGCACCGTGGGCAGGAGTGGCCCCGTCCCCTCCGCTCGGCCCTGCGGCGGGACAGGCACC